GAACTCCGGGGGCTCTAAGAAGCCGCACATCTTAATCCTGTGCTCGTGTCTAACCCATTGACGCAACACATTGTCTATTGAATGCAATTGTGGGACACGAGTGGACACTAAATGCCACAACATTTTCAACACTATTCACTGCAAACACACAGTGTTTACTGATTTAACAAACATGTGTTCACCACAAGTGCACATCAATTATGACATTATATTCAATTCATTTTATGCTCAGTTTATTCGTAACTTACTATTGTTTTGCATAAACAGGGATTTATTTGTACGCCTATATATTGTACGTTATTTGTATATTTAATAAATGGCCATAAATTGTCTATTTATTTTAAACAGTTTAATTTAGTTTCAACAAAAATTTAAAAACTAATCATACAATTTGAATAAAATATAGTGAAACTTATAGTGTATGTAAAAATAAAGAGTTAGTGGTGATATAAATGCAAAAATGAACTTGGGCTCGTCCGGGATTTGAACCCGGGACCTCTCGCACCCTAAGCGAGAATCATACCCCTAGACCAACGAGCCACTGTTATTTCATTTTTGACAACTTTTATTAGACTTCACTATAATTGAAAACCTGTTACAGTTATTTATTATAAGGTACTGTATAGGAATCATTTACTTTATGTTTTCAATTACTGTTAATGGTAAAACATTATACTGTATCAATGTTAAGTATATTAACAACTTATACTCAAATTACACGTTTACTCTTATAACCAATGTATTTTATATGCGATTCAAGTGTGCTTTTAATAAATAAATTCAACCAATTGTTAACTAAATTAAAGAATTTATCTTGGACATTATGATTGTACAGCACAGTAATTGTCACTTAAGTAACTCATATTAATATTTAGGAAAATAATTTTATTGTGATATAAAAAAGATATAATAACTTGAATTTACAAATATTCATAATAAATTAAATTTTATATTAGACAACGTAATGAGCAAGGTGACAAGCATGTACTAATTGAATGTCTAGCAAAAAATGAATGACCAAAATAGTGGACTTGGGCTCGTCCGGGATTTGAACCCGGGACCTCTCGCACCCAAAGCGAGAATCATACCCCTAGACCAACGAGCCACCTATCAATCAGATGTATTTATAGTGACAGGTATTATATACCTGTTGCGTAAAAAATAAATTTGATGCCAATAAATAAAACTTGTATTTCACTGAATACGTGATACACATCATCAGAAATACAGATTCAAATATACGTGTGTTTAAAGTCATTGCTGTTAGAGATTAGAAATACAAATATAATTGAGACAATCAAACAATATATAACTGTTATCTCAATCAATCAATTGTTCAGTTTGTCGTATCAGTCAATTTAATCTAATCATAACACCAGGGTCTACCAAAATGACGTGATCGCTAATGTATTTGTATACTATTAATCTGAAATGCAAATAATGAAAACATCAATTGTTTTGTTATTTATTTAAATAGTTTATCTCATAATTAAATAATTTGTCAAAATATGTTACTTTTGAATTGAATAAAATTTTTATTCACAAATATTGCAACTGTTTGGAAGAAAAAGTGATTATTTAAAACTAAATATTACTTCAAATTTGACTTTAAATTACAAATTTTAATACAATTTTGATTAATATGAAAAATTCTCTAAAAACAAATTTTATGTATAATTTTTATTACATAATAAATATGATAAATATTAATTAATAACAAAACGAGCTGTCAATCAAAAACCATAAACTTGTTCTTTTGGGTGAAAACAACAAAAAACTCACAAAAATTGTAATAAATTAAGTGATAATTAATTATTATTTGATTCTGAAAACAGGAAATGAGAGATAAATTATTAATACTTTTCGGTTTTAATAATAATAATCATAATAATCATAAACTTTAAACAACTTTTGAGTTTCTATCAAAAGTTTTTGGGCACTTATTTTTAGATAAATATATAATGAATTTATGTTTAATAAGATTTAATTCATAAAATATATTATTATTATTAAAAATTCAATCTCAATTTTCCTTTTCTCATCTAAAATACAATAATTTTTATATAAAATTCAATTTTAAGGTTTTTGTATTGAAATTATGACTTCAATTATCATTTCATTCGTTGCTTCTTAACCCCGTCCCCACGTTTAGCACCCGATGTCTGATTAACACTACTGGTCATTGGCTTTGTCTGTTGTAAATGTAGCTATAATTTGAAAAGTAAAACATTTAATTAATTGATTGCTAAAAATATTTTGCATTAAACATTAAGAAAATTGAATTACTTGTGAAAATGTGTTATTATTGATGAGAACCTCAGTGTTACCGGTGCTATGATTTTGTCCCAAATTAAGTATAAGTCCGTCGGTTATAAGGCTGGCATTACCGGCGTTGTTAGCGGCGCCGGCCGTGGCGTACACTAGACCTTGAGTGGGATTATACATAAGTGTCGGCCCATTATTCGATGAGGACTGGGATGACTGGGCAGTGGGTAATGTTATTTGGTTTCCATTGGCACATAATAGGATATTTCCTGTGAAACGGCAATAAATGTCAAAATGAAACAAAAATTATTCCGAAGCATAAATCAAATACTTTTATATTCAACATATTATAATTTTCTAGTTTTGTTGTCAAATCAATTCATAACTGTGTTATTCAAAGCGAAAACTAAAAATAGTTTTTTTTGCATCAAATCCTCTGACAATACGAAAAGCCTTCAATTAATAGCACAAAAAATGGTTTTTGTTATTTGATTAGAAAATTATAATAATTTGTGAATTGAGTTTTAGGTGAAAACTTGTGTATAACGGCTATTAATTAATTCGCGCAATCGATTAGCTACGAAACAAATGGTAAGTACCGGCGCTTAACAATTGTTGGGCTGATGTGTGACTCATGTGTATTGTTTGGTTGGCTTTAGGATTGGATCCAATTGTTCCCAATTTCGATGCACTACTTATTGTTCCGGTGTTTGGCGTCAACTGTAGCGATGAGGTGGTGGTCACCAGAGAGGACAGCGACGGCATTGTCGACTGCGATGTGTGCGACAGTGATGTCTGATTAGATAGCACTGTGTATTGCAAAGTGAAACATTAATGTCATAACTATTGGTCACAAACACAGTGTTTATTACCATTAGAGTTAGTCAACTGTGAAATCAATTGACGATTAGTGATCTTATTGTTGATTAGATTGACTTCATTTAAATAATTGAGTGGTAAAGCGTTTTCGAGCTGTGCATAAGTGGTCGGACCCGTCGACACGGCAGCGCCTGTATTGAGAACACCGGTCAGCAGTTCGGGCGAGTCGTCCGCACCGTTATCTGAGGACTCGCCGCTCGACAGACAGTGTCCGGAGGGCTCACATGATTCGTCACTCTATTTGTTAAATGAAATCAAATATAAAAATAATGATTAGTTTTCTAAATATTATAAATATTTGTAAATTCAATAAATATTCTTGTTAACACACTTATGTTAAATGTTTGCAAAGTTTGTTTAAAGCAAAGAACTAATTTTCATATAATTTATTACTAATATATATTTGTAAAAAGCTTTAAACTGTTGTGAGAAATAGTTTTCTTATTACAAAACAAATTTCACACTTTTTATAGAGTATAGCAAACATAAGCAGTGAATATACAGTAGTAATCATATAAAGAAAAGGATTATTCTTTAAGTTATTAATTATATAGATTGTAAACAACGGTTTTGTAATACAGGCTATAAATAAAGTATTAAAAAAACTTTAAGATAGTTTTATAAACACAGAAGTTGATTAAATTGAACAGATTGTGAAATATGTACAGAAAGCGACTATTTTTCCACATTCTTTCATGTGTTGACTAATTAATCAAATAATAAGATAATTATTAAATACGATTTCAGCCAAAAAATTAAGAATTTTAGAAATTTTGTCAAATATTTGAGTTTTGATTATATAATTGGAAAATTTTGTGTGAAATAATGCCTAAAATAAAAAACTAACAAAACTATTCTTTAGAAATGCTCACAAATTGTACAAATTATATATGAAAATGCATTTATGAATAATCATTGTTTTGAAAAAACAATTTCATAATAAACAGGAAATTCTTATAAAGAGAATAAAGATATTATATATTTTCGTCTCATTATATTCATATACTGTTTTATTTTGTTTCCTAATTATGTGAAAACACATAAAATATATAAGTTTTGTTAAACAATTATAATATATTTTATGACAAAACTCAGTATTTGAAGCATACAATGAAAAGGAGTGAGGGATGGGTAACAAAGGGATAGTATCTATTAGCGGCTAAAACTACATATTACTGATTATTGGGTGTTGTCTATGAGTTTAAAATGTATTCAAGAATAAATCGTATTTAAAATACATAATAAACGCATTGTGGTGCATAAAAAAATAATTAGTAGATTGAAAACTTATTAGTGAATATTGATGAAAATTTTTTAAAAATGAAAGTAAGCTATAATTGAAATCAATCCCAAAGTTAGCAAAAATGAATCTAAGTTATAATTAAAACACACAATTACTCAATAATACATTAAATAAAAACTAAAACAAAGAGCAATTAAAAATATGTTTGCCAAACGTGTACTTTATTTATCCATTAGTTTGCATTTTAGGCGAAAAAATAACTTACTTTTCTAATAAACACATACGAGATATCATTGGATATAAAAATAAGATAAAAATAACAGCAAATAAGAGCAGAAAATGTTTGACTAATTTTAGCAACAAATCTATGCTATCATTCAAAAGCAATGCTTAAAAGTTGAGAATATTTAACATTTAGAATATTCTAAATAAGAATATTCTGTAGGCGTATAAAGTGAGCGAATATTACTATACTATATGTATAAATAACATAACTTATGGCATCAAAATAAATATTTCTACATCAAAGTTTACATTTACAGCACCAAGCTCATAGTCGTTATTATGACATAAATAACTTATAATTTAATATGAGTAAATGAAAGTCTTTTACAAAATTAACCAATATGTTGAGTGAGCCAAAATAAAATATTTTAATTATTTATTTTTAATCAATTATATTATATGCTAAGATCTGTGAGTATATATAGAGTGTAATATATTTTTATAAACGCATAATTTATCATATTTATAGAAATTATAAGTTTATTTATGTGAATCAAGCTTAATAAAAATAGTTTAACTTTATAATACTTATTATTGTTTAAATACAAATAATAAATGGGTTTTTATAAATGTTTTCAAATGTATTCTCATGTATAACAACTTAAAAAGTGAATAAGAATTTAAATATGAATAGAAATTCCTGTCGGCATCTAATCGTTAAGACATTTCAATCAATACGACAGTTAATAATAAAACGACAATTTCTGGATACTATATTTAAAGGCAAACCTGCCGGTGCACTGCATGTCACTCTTATTGATAATCGTAAACGGAAAATAAATTTTTAATAGTTATATATAACTCGACTCATCAGCACTTTATATACGATAGGAAAGCAGAGAAAATGTGCTAAACATAGAGAGAAATAAGATTTGGAAATCGTTTCCAAATTTAGATTATTTTTGTTAAAACTTTGTCTTAAAACTGTTTTAAACACAAACATAATAATACACATTAGAAGCAAAAAATGTCTATTAAACAGATATCTGTATCTCAAACGACTACAGAATCCATCACTACTACAACAAAGTCTTATAAACACATCTCATCTCAAAAATATCTGTGACACCAATATTTAGGGGTAACCATGAGTTTGTTTAATAATCACTACATTTAGCCCTTTCCTAACGGAACAGAGTAGTGGCACAAGAATAATGAATATTCTTTTAATCTCACGAAAATTTTCAGTTAATCGCATAAAAATCTTTTAAAAATCAAATCTAAGGTCAATAACATGTATCGGAAGTATAAAGACTAATATAACATCTCGTTGTCTGCCTGTCCCCTAGTAATCATCTCTCCTCTCATTCCGTGGCAAACATATCACGAAAACCCATATTTAGAAACCAACCAACATTTTGCCAAAAGAGTCATATCAAACAAAATGCATACTCTCTCTCTCTCTCTCTCTCTCTCTCTCTCTCGCACTCACTCACTCACTCATAGCCTAAATTTAAGATCCAAGAATCGTTATGAAAACTTAACGATAAATAATTTGTTTTAAGGGAATCATCTTAAAAGTATGTACGAAGGCTCAACAAAATGACCTGTACCCTCTATGATGAGTACTGTACGTACTTTTAAACAAAATTCTTATTGATATAAAAAGAATTGAAAACTAATGCATATTTAAGTCTCCCTATAGTGAAGAAAATCACACAAATGAATAAAAATTTCATTGAAAGCATTCATTCAATTAGACTCCTATTGAGTGAAAAGTATTGAAATAAAGAGTAAATAATATGCAATAAATTCTTTTTAAAACTTTAAAATAATTTTTATTTGTATTGATATGAATTTAATAACATAATGGAAAGAGAGAGAGAGAGAGAGAGAGAGAGAGAGAGAGATTTAATTGAATATAAACGGCGCACCCATTAGTAAATACATTGGTTTGTTGGAGAGGTTTATACGATTACAAAATAATAGCATTTATTTACAAATACATAATTATATGTCATTAAAGAGCGTATGAAATGTACATTTCTTTTGAACTAACTGTTTCAAAAAATTGTTCATTTTCCCATCTAATAATCATATCTGTAATTATCTATAATTAGTGATAAATTACAGCGTATTATAATTGAATAAACTATAAATTACAACAAAACAATGTAAGCAAATATACGGCATATCAATAGCCAAGATTTATTAATCTTATGAATGGATAATTACATGAAATATTTGTTAATTTCACAAAAATAATTGTTTAGACGTTTTTGTGATCATACGATAAGTAAAAATGAATTCAAATGACAATATTCTGTCTTATTATTGCTAAAATGAATGCCAATTATTTTATTACTTATAAAAACTTCACTAATTTGTCATAAATCAAATCGTTGTCAAGTATTTAAAATTTAAATATTGATTTCACTTTTATAATAAATATCATGTAATAAGCAAGGCAATTATTGACAAGAATCTCGAGAAAATGCTACGAGTTTTTCGTTAAAGAGATCTTATAAAAACTCAAGACTTAATAAACGATTAAGACTTGAAAACTCATTACAGACTCAATACTCAATACAAACAGCAATAAACATCACTCGACTAATGAATGACAGATATTAAGAATATTTCTATGAATAGAAATGCAAGTCTTGTGTATTCACTCCACTATTGACTTAATGAAAGTCTTCCCATTGTATACCAATTGTATAATATATGGCCTTCACTCTCATAGCCTATACCACATTCTTATAGCCTAATGACAGTCTAACCTCATTTTAATTAACAAAATATCAAACAAAACAAGAATACATTTTTGAATTTATACCAAAAATCTTGTTGTTTTGGATAACGTTTTACTAATAATTGTTTCACAGTTTAACTGTTTAGGAGTTTAATATCTATGATATTTTATTCATTTACATAAAAAACTACAAATAAAAATGATAAATATTTTAACGTTTTTTTATTGGTTTTAATTATTAAAATAATTAATTGGAATTAATGATTATAATAAATGCATTTCGAGTCAAATGCGAAAATATGTCAATAATTATAAATTAATACAAAAAAGGAGAAATCAAATCGTAACTTATTATACATACACTTTGGCTTATGGTTAGTATCACTAGATTTTAAGTTCATTAGTTTTGTTATATCAAAAAACATCGGAATATATGTTAAATACAAATAATTATAATAATAAGATATGATGGGAGCAAATGATAAGCAATAAAAGGCTATTTTGAGAAAATCTATAACAAAATACTTGCAAAAAATCTATTCAAGTATTTCTTAAATATTTGAATACAAAGACATTAATTATGTATTTAAACGTGGTCTGTGGAAATTAATTTATATGCCTTTAAATTATATATTTATACAAATAATTATATGAATAAAAACATAATTATTAATAAGTATTTATCATTCATTTCAATGTTGTGTTTCGGGGGTTAGTTTGGCATAAAAATTATGACTAATTATTATTTTTTCAATTGTGTTCATAATAATATTTATATATTTATGGAAAATAACAAATTATTTTTCATATCAAAAATGTTTTTCACGCCATTTATCGCAATACACTCTCAAAACACTGTTATCTCTTAGGATCTGATAATTATCTCATCGTATGTTAAGTGAGATATAATTTTGTTGTCAAATATTATGAATAAATTTCTAATTCAATGCAATATTTGTTTTGTATATTTCATTGAATATTCAAATATGTTTCAGAGATTCACAGTTAACATGAGTCTTTTGATAGGTTTACCGATATTTGAGCGCAAAATATATAATACTATTTATAATATAAAAAACCGCAATTCATATGAATATTAAACAATAACAATAAAAATATTAAGTAATAATAACATAATTACTGTCCATACATGGACAACAATTTTACAATTGTTTGTTATATAAAATACTAATTCAATCATTTCTTATTAATATTTCTACAATTTTATGCACACATTATAGGAAAACAATATTTAAAAGATTGTGAGAATTATTGTTTAAATTTTGTTTGAAATTCAATACAAGTAAAGTAAATGCAAAAACTGAAATAAAAAATATATTTGTATAGAAATAAATAAACCAATTATTGTGAAAAATATTTTTTCAGACTCTATAGGATGTCCATCAATATAGGAATTGATAGAAAATTAAGTTATATCTCATCTATTTATATAACTAGAAAATAGCAGTAAATTTATCATTTCATTCATATGCTAATCAAATTTAATTGAATTTTATATTCAAATTAAATTTAAATAAACAAATAATTACTATGTATTAAGAAAATCCTAAAATGGATAACAAAAAGTAATATAACGGCAAAAATAAAATTTGCAATAAAAATTAGTTTCCGAGAGTAATTCACTCCAATTTTCAGACATTCAATATAAGAACAAATGAAAAACATGTGTAAAATATTTGCAATAAAAATCCAATAAACAAAAAACTATTAAAATATGAAAAGAATAAAAATAATTTGCTAGAAATATTCAATAAAATATTGTGATCTTTTTCATATATGAATGAGTGTTTGAATGATTGGACAAATGTATTCATAAAAGAAAACTCGAATTGATTTAAATGCAGAAAACAATGATTTTTTATGTCAAACAAACAAATAAAAAAAACTTTTCTAAAAGTTTTCAAAAACTTCACGAAAAGACTAACACATAATAAGTATGGAAAACAGGTATGAATATTAGGCATACCGGTCGGTAGACCGTACTTATACAGTATAAATACTGTTAGAGAGAGATCATTGAATGTGAAAAATAAAAATCATTTAATGAATAACATTATGCTGAGTACGCCTATTAAAAAATTAAACCAAAAAATGATTTCGATTCAAATGCATATCAGATATCAATGCAATCAAAGGTGAATACAATACAATGTAAAGTATTTTGAAAGGCTTTCAGATGATTTGAAAGGGAGAAACGCTTTTCAGACACTATTATACATAATAATAGATATGAATTCAAGTGTAAAACAAAAGTATTATTTCCATTCAATATGTGATTACAATATAACATATTTAGAGAAATAAATTCCGATAAATAGTTTAAGCGATCGGCTTCCAGATAATGACAAACCGCTCATATACTAAGGAACGGTATTCGTATAGTTCATGTATATGTGGTGTGAGATCCCTCATAATAGGTTGTGCCAAATGCATACACATGTTATGGCAAAAGTTATTTCAAAATATATAATAAGTATATGTAATAAATATTTGAAAATCAAAACTAAACGTTTGTGTATTAAATATAATAATAAACACTTATATATTAGTATTATTAAGTTTATATGAGATTCAAATAATACTAAAATGTATTGTTTTCTAATGTAATGTTTGGCAGAAAACTATTCACTTGATTGCGATTATTAGTGACGGAAATTATTTCTCTAAACTGTGAATACATTTAAATATATTCAATAGTTTTCAATAAACATAATGACAACAAAATTACATAAAATATAATTTAAACACTGTTTTCCCGATAACTCATAAACCTTTTGATACAATTCTGGTACTTTTTCCTCAAATCCTACTAAAAAACTCTTTCATTCATAACAATAAATATTTGCATAACTTTTAGTCATATTTTCTAATCAAATATTTGCCAATTGCTGGCATAAAACTATAGGTTTGTACGCTATATCCATTGTTTAAATGTGAAAATTTCAAATTTCCAATTAATCCAATGGCAGACTTTAAATAAACATCCCATTCCTCACCTTATACTCTCCCATCCCTTTAATTCAATTTTTCAATATAACATTATTTTAACACTATTCAGAAATTAATAATAATAAGAATTTATATGAATACATATAATTAAATTTAACAAAGTTCATAATTAAATGTTATCAAACGCTATACCGGTATTAAAGTATTGAATGGAAACACTAAAGTCTTCAACACTTAATTGCAGTTTAGATCGGAATCTAAAATATAGTTTTGATTACACTTTCCCTAATCATTCAAACACTCATTTATATTATCATTTGCGAGAATCACATTATATTTTATATACAATGTGTGCATAAAATGTGGAGAAATAAACTAATAATTTGATAGAATATATAAACAGAATATTTGTCTTATCACAGATCAGTCGGTCGTTAAGACAAAATGAGATTTCTATTCATTAATAAAACTTTTGTCAATTTGATCATCAATTGGTCTTTAAAAACAAACAAACAAACAATAATAATAATAATTAATAATAAACTAATTATAAAATGAAAACAAAAACAAGAAAAATAAAGATGAAAACATGCGATGCTGTAGAGAATCGGTGTTAAAAACGGGGGAATTGTATGAGAAAATAGACACAAAATAAGGAGTAGTTATGCGCCTATTTATAACATTAAAAACACGAATTGCATAACAAAAATACTGTTACTAATAAAACAAATGAAAACTAAAAACAAAAATAAGTGGCAATCAAATGGTGCAAAACGGTGGCAGACGTGCAGAAGGAGAGGAACAGTTAGCTATAAGACCATCGGTAACGACAAACTGATCCAATGATAGAGTGGTGTCGCCGAAGAGCGCGTGCAGACCATTAGTGCTATGGTTGCTGTGGTTATTATTTTGGTTATTATTGCCACACATTGACAGACAAGAGGTCGGCGAGGACATGGATGAACACGACTGTCCACAGGACACACATATATGGCAAACACATTCATAGGGAAAGGGAAGAAAAAATAATTAACAAAACACATCAATATTTATTGTAAAAATAAATGCTAATCAAAATTACTATATAGGTTTCAATTGAATTGAAGTTTTCATTTCAAAACCAATATATTTTGTCTATAATTAATTGTTAATATATTTATTATTCTACATTAAAAATATTAAGCGTTTAATTTTTAAGTTAAAGCGTTCAATGTTTTTGATTAGCAAGATTATTTTGTTAATTATTATTTTGAATCAGAATAAAGTTTTATATAAAAACTAAGCAATTTTTAAAATGCAATTATCAATATTCTGTATGAATCGTATACAATAATATTCTCATAATTCATGTAAAGTACTGTATATTAAAGTTGAGTAAAGCAATAAAATAACGATTCTTTGTAGGAAAATATAACATTTTTCATTTAATTGCATGTACTGTATGTACAATACGAGAATGGGAAACAGATTTGAGATTCTTATGAACAAAACATATGGAATATATGTAATACTTTCTCCAATTCCGATACAGACTGACATTTGTAAGGGACTGGTAAGTCAGATATGATATTCATTTATCAAGTTGTATATTAAACATCAATATAATGACAGAATTACAAAACTTGACAGCAGTTATAACAAAAATTCCGTTAATTTCTATACGTTTATCAAATGGAAAAATGAATTCTTAGAGATATAAATAAAAAATAGAGTCTTGAAACTCAGATTTCCGTTTAGAAAATCACTTTCAGTAAAGATTTTCATTTGTTTTCAAAGATATCAACAAAATTCAGGCAAATATTGAGGAACCAAAAAAGTTCTGGACTTAAATTGATAATGAATTTTGTAGGAATTTGTTATGATATTCATACCATAAATGGCTTATATCCGTATGAAATGCTATTTAACAGATATAATATGTATAAAATTAAAGCATAATTTGATATACAATGAGAATACTAAAGTAAAATGAATTTTTATAAAAAACAATGGGAAACATATTCCTTATAGAGAAAGGATTCAATTTTGATATCTTTAAGCTAATATTCTATCCGTACAGTCAGTGTTTATGCAGACATTTTTGTTATAGTTTTTGTTTACTACAAAAATAATTGTCACAAATATCTGGGAAATAGCCATAAATAGAGATATCTGGGAAATGGATTTCAATATTTGGTTCAATAGATGTGACATTCACTTGAGTTTTCACCAGAATTTAATTTTTATCACAAATTGCAAGAATGTTTGATGAAAAGGCAAATTCCTTAAATAGCAATTCCTACCAATTTCTACACTATATCCGTCCAATTAATGTTTTAATTCATAAAAATTAACTCAAATTCAACCAACACTTTGGCATATATTAAATTATATATCAGTTCATATGATTTATGAATATTGGCATTAAAATATAGTTTGAATGCAAACAAGAATTCATAAAAAATGAAAACTAAGACAAGAGCTAAAGGAAAGTAATGCCTTAGTGTACGGCATATGAAGTGGTGAACAAATTGCAAGACAACGCCTTCAGAAAAGTGGGCAAATTGCTGTTGAAATGCTTAACAAAGTAATGAGAAAAGTAAACAATAGTTTCAAATAAATATTAATCAATTGTTGGCCAGAATTAGTGGAAATTTGCATAATTTATAATTAATGTAACAATTGGACAACAAATTGGTGTCACTATTGTTCATGAATTAGTGTTAATTATAGCGAAAAATATCGATTTGGATCACAGCTGCGCCCATATAGTTAATAGTCGGCCCTTTATATGCTATAATACCAGTCGAGTATTACACAACATATAACTCATCAGCGTGTGAGTGGACGGACAGGAAATTTGTAATTAGATTGAGAGTATAAATAAATAAATAAAAATAATTACCTTATCATTGGGAGAGTCATCTCCGACAGCATATGAGAGGTCCGTCTCCTCGAAACCGGTGGCAGACATGCGTTGGTCGCCACAGTGGAGACCGTTAGGGTCGGGTGAGTTGAGACACGTCTGGATCAGCGCTTTGCCCGCGTCTGAAGTGATCATAGGCTGTAGTTTTCGTGTGGCGAATGTGTAGACATGACCCGTCTCTGAGGCCACCAAAAGCATGACTTGAGTGCCCGTAAGTGTCGATAATTCGTATGCCTTTCATGAATAGATAATTTTTTAATCAACTCATTGTATGCATAACTAATCATTATTAATGAGTGTATTAATGAGTGCCCGTGTATTGAGATTCTCGCCTAACATATAATGCATTCATAAGTGTTTATTTAATAGCAAGTATAGTTCATATCTGACAAACAGATTCAAGACTTAACTCTCGGTTTCAATAAATCTTAAACTCGCGATAAGTGTTATGCAATGAATGGGAAACTCAAACTCAAAACTTATATATAGGACACCGAAAGAGTAGCTCAACAAAAGCTTAACGCAACGTCTGGTATGAAAATGACTAAAATTTCGCACAAATATCGCCAATAAAGTTGCCATCAAAAGTACATTTATTTATTTATGCATAAAATAAGCAAATAATAGTAAAATTTAGACCAAAATTCTGCTCGAAATGTGTCTAATTTGGGAAAATCTGCAACAAATGGCACACTAAGTAACCCGTGTATTGGATAACGGAAGGGAACGGTATGTAAAACTATAGGGCAATGGAATTGCTTGCAGGCGATAGAGAGAGGGAATAAATAATTGTAAGTCAAGTCATTCGCTTATGTATTGCACTGTAAAACATATACGATATAAATACTAAGATATTACAAAAACCAAGAGTTTTCGTATATTTATATATAAATCTTTAACACAATAAAAACTTTAATGTTTTTTAAATAATAATAAAATACTAAACAAACTTTTATACAATAAATTCAAACACAATATTAGACAAAAAACTATTTAATCTAAAAGTTAGTGCAAATTTTGTTTGTAACTTAATATTTCAAGCAAACATAATACAAGTAAAAAACTAGATGTATATAATTTATACACAAATAAAACAAAATACTATAAAAACCAATGTATTTTTGACTACATATGAAAAAACGATGGGATTATGTGTGCAAATTGTATGCATTAAATCTAATACACTATTATATGAACTCTTCTCATGTAATCTATTTTATTATTAACAATAAAATACGAAATATTTGTTGTATTTATTGTTTAATCATTTAAATAAACACAAGAATACGTGAACAATACTTTTGCCAATAGTCTTAACCTGACCTAAGATTATGAGACAAAAAGTGAGCACACAATACATTCTTTGGAAATAAATCTAAACAAATATTTAAACATTCCTTCGGTGCTCACAAAAATCAAAAGTTATTATTCTTTTGTTTTTTCACATTATTTTGTCTTTTAAATCAAAGCCTAA